GATAGGTTTGGTACTGTTAAATAGTGGGGGAAATTATATTTTATGAATCTGTTAATATGATCACTGTTTCTGAAAGTTAAGGAAAGTTAAGATAAGGAAAATATTTGACTTTTAATCTGTTATCTTTTTCTTTCCCTTGCAGTCTGCATGAAACAGAGATTCATAAGGAAGATCATCAGTTAGAACCTATTTACAGAGCAGAGACATTTTTAGACAGAGACTACTGCATGTCCCAGGGCACCAGTTACAATTATCTTGACCCAAACTACTTTCCAGCAAATAGATGACATGGGAAGCAGATCTACCATCTTGGGCTTACTATCCTCTTTGAAAAATAACAATGGCACCATTGTTAATTCTGTGCACATTTTGGAAAGACTCTGCTTTCCCTGAAATGTCGCTCACAGCATGACAGCTTCCTGGGTGTACTTGTCAAACTACAGCTTTGAGCTGTCATGGTTCTAGATCACTGAACAGCAGCTGAACATTCCTAGTGTGCAGAAGGTTTCACTGGGAGACTTTTCTTTCACCACATTAGTCATTTTTAGGTGGTGAATCTAAACACAAAAGAAAAACATACAAAAGGGTGAGCCAGAAATGAGAGCACACATTAAAGATAGAGTAAATTCCAAAGGCTTTGAAGAACTTGGTTATAATGAGATCCAGAGGAGATGAAGTATTTATATAAAAACAGTTTAGTAGCTTGCAGTTTTGTTGTGAAATAGTTTTCAGCACAGTAACTGACTTCTTTAGGCAAGGTTTTAACCAATGACAGTGTTTGCTTCTAGGATGTACTCTAAAAAATACTCACTGTCTCAGCGATGGTTGGTTACAGGCCTTTATTAAATCGGAGCTGCTTAATCACATTGACTTTCAATTTTTTTAATTTTTTTCTTTTTTTTTTTTTTGTTTTTTTAAAACCACGATGAACTCTATTTACCAACAGTGAAGCACTACAGGGGGCAACTGTGGCATTGCTTCCTTAACCAGCTCATGGTGTGTGAATGTTATAAAATTGTCACTCAGATATATTTTTTAAATGTAATGTTATATAAGATGATCATGTGATGTGTACAAAATATGGTGAAAAGTGCCAGTGGTAGTAACTGTGTAAAGTCTCTAATACTCAACATTAACTCCTTCAAAATAAAATACACAGCCTTCTGCCTCTGTATTTGGAGTTGTTAGTGCAACTCATCTTTTTGTTTTTTTTTTTAAAACCACGATGAACTCTATTTACCAACAGTGAAGCACTACAGGGGGCAACTGTGGCATTGCTTCCTTAACCAGCTCATGGTGTGTGAATGTTATAAAATTGTCACTCAGATATATTTTTTAAATGTAATGTTATATAAGATGATCATGTGATGTGTACAAAATATGGTGAAAAGTGCCAGTGGTAGTAACTGTGTAAAGTCTCTAATACTCAACATTAACTCCTTCAAAATAAAATACACAGCCTTCTGCCTCTGTATTTGGAGTTGTTAGTGCAACTCATCAAAGAAAACTGCCTAATATAAATCATATATATGGTAATAATTTTTCCTCTTTTGTAGTCTGCACAAGATCCATGAAAGATTGTATTTTTATTACTATTTAAACAGTGATTAAATTTAGCCTGAGCAGTGAGCAAGGGTTCACATGCATTCTTTTATACTGCTGGATTTTGTTGTGCATCATTTAAAACATTTTGTATGTTTCTTCTTATCTGTGTATACAGTATGTTCTTAAATAATGTTCAATTGTCAGGAGAACTGTGAGAAATAAACTATGTGGATACAGTCTGTTTATATATAGAATGCTTACTGTGACTTCCTTTCTGTGTAGTTCTGACTTTTTAATCAAGATGGAAAACATTAAAAGGACATTTTAATACGTCATACAAATATTCACTATGCAGACCTGCAAGATGCCCAGCGCCTTCCTCTGCTGTTAATTTCAGTGGGAACTGATGGTGCTCTGCGCCTACTAAAATATGCTTTGCCTTTTGCAGGATTAGCATTCTAGATTTCTCATATTTTACTTACAAACTGTTCTTTTTCAGATTGCAGAAAATTCAGATTTTAGTAGCCTTGGTACACTGTATACCATTGTCTGAGAAGCTTTGTAATTATTGTGACATATTTTAGTTAATATATTTTCTATTGAAATGTATAGCTTGTGATTCAGAAACACTTGATTATTTTATAACTGTAATAGACTTCCAGTTGCTTTGAAACTTGAATACTCAGAGTCATTAGCTAGAAAAGAACTAATTTGACTTTAAAAGATGGCAATAAGAAGGATAATTGGCTGGCTGCACCTAATAACTTTAATTATAAACTGATCAGTATTAAGTTTTGCAATAAATTCATGTGTAGTTATTTTTTGCTTCAGAAAAAAAGAATTTTAAGCATTTAATCTATTTAGAAGGTAATACAGTACAGTTACTAAAACACTGAGCAAGTATCATATGTAAACATATCTCAAGTATCTAGTATACTTAGATAAATTTAATAAACCTTAAAAAAATACAACACAAATTCACATGATGTATTTTAGTTTTTAATTGGAAAAGATACTGCTCTGAGAGGCTCTCTAATACAATAAAAAATGTGCTTTCCACATCATTCACACTGTTTATAGGAAGCTAGAGTTGATGAAGGTGTATTATCAGGGAGAGAATCTGTGGTAATCTTTGCTTTCTGTTGATATCCTGAAAAAACTACTGGAAGAAAATAGCAGAAATACACTCGTGAAAATATGATTAAGTGCAAATATTCAGTCATCAGTTTAGCATAGCTTGGGAAGAACAAAAAGCCATGGTATAATTTGAATGAGATTTGAAGCAGAAGGAGAATTTCAAGTCTGAATCACCCAAGAAAGAAGTGTCTTGGATAAGTCCTCTTTTTATTGAATATGTATAAATATTTATATTTCCATATGCATGCATATACAGCTATTTCTCTTGCATACATTATGAACATATGCAAATAGATCTCTAATGCACATACACCCAACCAAGCATGGGAATTTTTTTTTGTTCCACAGAAAAGACCAGAAGAAGCAGAAAGAAAAATTCAACTGAAACTGTATGTTAAATAATTTTTGTAATCTGATTTTAACAAAAAAAAAAAAAGCAGCTGATTGTTGCCTTTTGTTCCCATCCCGCACAAATATGATACTCCACATTTTTTAACTTATATTGTAATTAGAAGTAATAAAAAATACTGCAGACAACCTATCCAGATGAATTTGCAACTTCATGGTAACTCCAGAATGTTTTACTTTTTCTTTTGGAAAAATACTACACCAGACAGCTGCCAGTGCTTCAAGGCTGGGTTTAGAGAAACCGGCCTTCTCAAGCTGATGCATTATGAGAGTCGCTCGCTTAAAGCTGTTGTACTGCAGACGTTACTGGTTACTTAATGGCACTGGTCTGGAGCTGGAGAAGCACGTCCTAGAGCATCAGAGGTAAAATGTAGGCTATAAAAGGACCCAGGAAAGACGGAACATCCAGGATATGAAGGATAAGACCGTATCTAAAACAGTCCCTTAAAAAAATAATTGAATTAGCATTCACAGGGCAAATGCCAAGGAAGAAAAAGAAAACAGAAGACTGCCCTGAATGGAGAAAAGACATACTACTCTGTAAGCATGCTGATTTGAGCTATATTTTCAAGTCATGTACTGTGCTTTAAAAAGGATTAAACCCACATATACTGTAACAGAAATCATTACTCCTCATTTTTGTACGTTTTATTTGTATTATGTCTTCATTACAAGAAAGGTAACTTTAAAAATACAAATCTGCCGCATAAAGTACAACTTTGACAGTAAGAGCAATCATGCAACCCACTTCAACTGTGAATTCATCCAGTAGTTCCAGTAAGAGGATGCAATTACTTTACAGGAATGTCAAACAAGCTTTTATTTAGCTATCAATACCAAAGAAACTCCACAATATTTTGGTTAACATAATGGAAATACAAAATGATTTTTACAGACTTTTTTGCAGATACTACAGATAAATGGCTTACTAAAGATGCAAGCAATATGAATCAAATAACCCCTGACGTTTTCC